AATAATTGAATTTTTTATTTCAATTGACAGAACTTTTGAATTTGGAACTACATAATGATGTGATGGAGATGTATTATTGATCATAAAGTGCCAACTTTGTACAGGGAAGTGGAAAAGTAGATTAACAAACACTACAAATCCTTAAAAAGACAATGTAACTGACTAAAAAAGTCAGATACTATAAGTTTTGTACAAGGATGATTGGAAATGATGATTGATTTGTGAAACTGATGATTGAAGGTTGTATAACATTTACTAAATAAATCCTGCTGTATAATTAATACATTTTTTTTTTATTTGTAGGTAAAGTCAGAGAATGCGATGAAAGCGAGAGGTTGTGTAAGTATATATATACGAGCGGCTCGAGATACATTTGCATCGCGAGCATCATCATGTAAGATGTAGATTTACAAATTTGAACATACAAATTATAAATATAGAATTTTTTGATTGATAGAAATCTAATGAAATGAAGGTACAGGAAGCAAACCGACTATTACGAAACAGTATTCGAGGGACACCCACAACGTCAACCCGCATGGGGGGAGTGTGAGATAAATAACAAGCTGAGGACATCATGTAACCATAACTATTTAATTTCAATAATAATGTTTGCATTTTGATATTATTTTAAGCTTATTTACTGCTTCCATTCAATAGCCTATATGGTATTCAAAGATCGTTAGAGGCAATCTAACCTAGTGTCACACCATCCATTGTCTGAGGAGCGGATTCCAGAAAGTATTGGGAAGAGGTCGGTCTCTTGAGGGATACGGAATCCGCAAACAGTACTTCATTTCTACAACATTGTTGAAGCTCCTAACTCCGAGGTATTGTTCTTCAACACAGTTAGTTGAACAGCGACACAATAGCTGACAAATGGAAAGGAGTTAGTTGAGCCAGATGCTCAAAAAACATGAGTACAATGCAAACTATACATTCAAATGTTGGCAGCAAAAAATGGGATAGGATTCTAGCAACATTCAGGGTTTATTCAAGCAACATGTTAGTGGAGGATGCATAGGGTGGTAAGGGAGGGAATAAACTATCTTCTCGTTTGAAATAGCAGTAAATTTGACACTCATTAAAAATTGATTTACTTAATTTAACAATCCTAACATGTTCACAAGTAAGAGATTTATATACCTTTGTATACAATCTAGGCATTACAACATTTGTATACAATAGTTGATAAACAATACTTTCACAACATATTTTTGATTAATTTAACTAATATTTGTATATTATTTGTTAGAAGTTAATGCATTATAAAATACCTCATGTTTTATCTTTGTTCACAGGTTGGTGATGATGTTCGTGATCAGTAGTGCTTATATCGTTTTATAGGTTTTTCTGTTGAATGTTTATATACTTTTTGGAATTATTATGTTTGGGATTGTTGGATATAGTTAGACGCATTTTAGGATTCTTATGTTTAGTATAGTTGGATATTTGAATAAAATTTGGGATATTGAAATGCATTTGATATTAATTTGGTTACATTACTAATTGTTATGATATGTTCAGTTTAGTTTGTATTATTTGTTATATAAAGGTTTTTTTTAGATCTAGCTGAAAATATTTGTGACACAGAATTTCTAGGTTATGACACAGTTTTTTGTTCCCAAAAGAAAAAAAAATGGCTTCATCTTTAACTGCTGCTGCTGCTGCTGCTGCTGCTGCCGTGGTGGCTGATGCTTGCTGCGGCTGCTGCTGCCGTGGTGGCTGTTGCTTGCTGCGGCTGCTGCAATGTTGCTGTGAGGCGTGCATACTGCCAATCCATCTGATGAAGAACTTGCTGAATCAGCAGTTGTGATATGTGAAACTTCTGCAACATGTGGTGTGGTGTGCTGTGTATACAACTAAGGAAGTGAATGGTTTGCGGAATGTGGTTGAAGTTGCACTTGTCGGACATGCATGTTGAAGGGAAGGTAACGACTAGTATATTCTTATTTTTAGACTAGATTGTGGTTGGTTCATATGTTCTTGTTTTAGTAACAACAGATATGAATGATAACTGTACCAAAATTGCCCTGGGTCAGGTTGGATCAATCAATGACGAAACAAGACCTAGTGAAGCCCTTGTTAGAAATGTCTTTTAAAATCTCACTACATTTGATATGCAGGAAAAAATGCGAGCCCAGCAATCCAAATTTTTGGCAAGCATTAATTCAATTACAGATGATGGGTTGGATGGTTCAGAAGGTGGAGAAGAAGCATGCCCCTCTGATATCAGAAGCGACACTGGAGAGCCCACACAAGATGTCTGCTCTCTTTGCCATGATCCAAATTCTAAAGGTCCACCATCTTTTCTGATTCTTCTCCAGGTAAGTGACTACTTGACGTATGTTTGTGTTTATTTTTGAGTCCTATTGAGTTGGGACTGACTTGATTATTATTATCATTTGAGCTTCAGTGATTACAAAATTCGTTTTTCTTTTTTAAATTCCATCTTTAACTCATACGGATGTTTTTATTTGTATTCTTGAAACAAGAAATCCAGGCTTCTGAGTCTCATTCACAGAGGTCCCCCATCATGGGAACAAGTAATAAGAAAATGCCTCTCAGGAGATTTTACTTGTGAAAAAGCAAGCTTTCTTAACGTCCCTTTTTCCAGAATTCTTTTATGATATCCAGGCTTCTGAGTCTCATTGATTTTTTGTTTTTGATTTTATTTTTTTTCCTTTCTCAGGTTGTTGAGCGATTCCAAGAATTGTTTGCTCAGACAAAGTTTGAGGAGGCTGCGGAACTTGCTGCAGAGTCACCGCAGGGAATTCTACGCACTTCTGACACTGTTGCAAAATTTCAGGTTTTATTAACATGATATCAGCCCTAACCATTTGTCTTCAGAATGTGTAAATGTCAAGGCCCTCATTTACTCTTTATGCTTTGCAGAGTGTTCCAGTGCAAGCTGGGCAAACACCTTGCTGCAATATTTTGGAACTCTTTTAACTAGGGGAAAGCTCAATGCTTTTGAGTCATTGGAACTATCTCGTCTTGTTGTAAATCAGAACAAAAAGAATCTTTTGGAGAATTGGTTGGCAGAGGACAAACTGGAATGTAGCGAGGAGCTTGGAGATCTTGTGAAGGTTTGATTTGGAGGATTGAACTTTTCATGATGTTTATTGTGCTATAGTTCTTATACAAAACTTTTCTGTAATCCTTTATTTTTAATCTCTTTATTTCAAATTTACTCATTGTTTAAACTATACTTACAAAAATTTACCTGAAATGAAAATAATTTCCCAAAGTTGCTTGTTCTATATTATTTATCAGATCTGTTCTATTGGAATTTCTGATGTAATGAATCCTGTTTCTATTGCAGACAGTGGATAATGAACTTGCACTGAAAATTTACATTAAAGCAAGAGTGACTCCAAAAGTTGTTACTGCGTTTGCTGAGAAGAGGGAGTTTGACAAAATTCTCATACACTCAAAGCAGGTGACATGCTTATGCAATTACAATCATTCAAATATGTTCTGTTTTGTGGATTCGCAGAGTTCTTGCCCAAGTTGCATACTTTGGTTCTCACTAACAATTAACTAACGAATTTGGTTGAGATTGATCCTCTTGCATCACTCCCTAAGCTGCAGTTTCTTAGTCTTCTTGATAATAATATCACAAAGAAGCTAAATTACCACTTATATGTCGTCCATAAGCTGAAATCATTGCGCTTGCTAGACTGTCAGTATGTTGTTGTCATTTACTTGTTAGTTTTGATTAACTTTCTTAGGCATGTTAACAGAGGTATTTAAGGACTTTATTTTTTTTGGTTCTGTGGTGTGCCAGTTTTTCAAACTTACTTTAAATCATATTTTGTGGATTATCTTCATTTATTCCGCTTTCTTCTTTGTTTGTTCTAATATTTGAATAAAATCAAATAAAATTCATTCATAATTTTTTATTGTGTTTCCACAGAATTGGGGCAATCCCTGTCAGATTTTGGGAAGGCAGTCAAACTTCTTGGCACTTGTGAAGGAGATGCTCTTGGAAAGGTATTCTCTGAGCTTGGGGCAAAATCAGAGATTTTGTCAATTAAGCTGCAGAAGGAGGTAAGCCTCATCAATGGATCATCCCTTGACATTAAATTGACATGCTGTTTGTAATTTTTCTTCTAACAGATTTGGATTTACATGTTGTTTTACCTAACTGAAACTAAATTGACATGCTGTTTTGGAGTGTGGCCTTGAGGTTGGTGATATTGTTGTCTATTGCTGTGGATTGGCCTCGAGTTCTCTGGGCTTATAAGGAGGCTGCCCCGTTGCTGGGTGGGCTCTGAGTTATCACTTTTAGTTGCTGCTAAATGGGGCAAGGATCATGACATGGCAGCAGGTTCAATATTGCATTAGGAATAGGAGCTGAGCTATGCATATGTCAGTTTGTTTAATTAGATGTATTCTTCATATGGAAGCAGTGTTCACTGGAATCTGTGTCAATGGCTGAGGGTGGTCTGGGCATGGTTGCTGCTGTGATGGTCTCTGGTGTGCTATGTTGTTGGTAAGTTTGCTACTGTTTTTTGGGTGTTTTAATTCTTGGCTGCTCAGCTATGCTCAGGTATTGGTCTGCTTGTGCTACTCTATTATACTTTTTATGTCATAAATTCGTCAAAACTCTCGTCAAAATACACCCTTGACGTAACTAGAGTATCTTGTGAAATTCATATTTTATTTGTTCCTCAATATTTAGTCTCTAGACATATCCCATTTTATTGGTACTTCACTTTAGCACTTCCCCGCTCGTTGCTTGCTTCATATCCTCTCTTTTTGGTAAGTCTAAAAACTGATATAAAAAGCTGTTTCTTGCCTTGCTAGGCATCTCATTGTCGTGTATATGCTAGTTGTTCAGTCACAGTGCGATGAGATATGCTTGCTGCTTGGATTGGATGTCTACATTTTTCAGATTCTTCTCTATTGTCATGGTTAACAACTCTGGAGTGCAGTGTAGTAGGTATTATATCTTACTAGAAAAGTGGTCCCGAGAAATGTCTTTTCTTTTGAGCTCAGTAAAGTACTGATGGTCATTTCGCCTGCTAATCATATTACATGTTTTATAAGCATAAGAACTTATTTAAAAATCTTTAATGTTAAATGCTTCTCTGAGTTGGTTTTTGTTTGCATAAATAGCTAGCGAGGCTTTTCTTTTTCTTAAACTATTCATGTTTTAGTGTAATAATAGTTTGCAGATCTTTTGATGTAGTGACATCTGGTTATAACTCTATACAGCATACATGTTGCTTAGAATTTGGATCTCTTTGAAATTGTCCAACTTGAGTTAAAGTGCATTTCCCCCTTTCTAACTTGATGTAACATATTTGTTGCAGATTGGGGTTTTTCTTGATAGGAGGGTTTTGTTCTACATTCTTCCAATTTTCTCATTTGTTTTACTTTACTCCAATCTTCCACATAAGGTACTGCTTATGAAACTTGAAATTCAATTTACTTAAGGTCAACTTTTTCCACAAATTCTATCATAGTTGTCAGTGCTGCAGTAGATCCGCTTTATTATTAGTTTTGTTCCATTGTTTATCAGCGGCAATTGCAGCTAGCAGAATGTACATCTCTTTTCTTTTGTTTAATTATTACCTCAATTAATTTATAGGAATACAGAGTTATTTTTATCTTCTTGTAGTTGTTTTAAATGATATATTGAAGAGTAGTTTTATATTTGACCAATAGAGGACGATTGAAAGAACAACTGCAAAATGTGCCAGATTCCTCTCTGCTTTCTAAAAGCATGTTAGACTTTCAATTTACTATTTGGGCGCATAGCACTGAGTGTTGCTTTCTTAAAACTGGGCTGTTTTCTGTGGTTATAATTACTTATTTTTTATACTTAGATATGATAATGGGCTTTTAATGAAGCAAAGAGACATATTTTCATTGGTAACTATGTTACCTTCCTAGGTGGTGTTGTATGATGCTCTTAATTATGCAATGTGTGAGGCTTATCCGTACGATGCTACTATCTTATGATCAGATATGGACAGGAGTTGGATGTTAATTTCTGATAGATTCAGTCAGCCATATGTAGATGGGGTGAACTCATTTATTGAATTTGCAAAGGTTTATTTGGGTGAGGCTAGGGAGATTAAGTGCCCATGCATAAATTGTTGTAACTTTTATAAGCATGAGTATGATAGTGTGAAGGCTCATTTGCTCATAAGTGGGATGATAGTATCATACACCATTTGGTTAGAACACGGTGAACTTCCAGAACACAATAACCTTGATGAAAGCAATGGTGAGAATGACGAGGATAAAGATGAATATGATGAACTGATAGAGGACTATCAAAGGGGTGATGACCCTTTGTGTTCTATGAATTTATACTTTATTTACTTATCAAAAAAAGCAAAAAAGAAAAAAAGAAAAGAAAAGAAAAGAAAAGAGAGCAGAACATTCAATAATAATGTGTTCTTTGCTGTTATACCAATTTTATGCCTTAGAAGTCTACTGGTTATTGGTTACATCTAACTTAATGGAAAAGCAAAAGAAAGAATTTGGTGTTTGCTCAGCTTCTGCTAAACTTACATCTGCATTGAACATTTTCTAACTCCTCTAATCATTAATCTGTTTCTACTCTAGCAGAGGATTTGGAGAGAGTTTTTGTAGTTGATATATATGTCTCTAAGGGAATGCCAGAGGTTTTGAATGGCAAAATAATGGTAAGATTATATATCTCATATCCTATTTCTTCCTCACATAAGTAGAGGATCATTTTTCTTTTGTTTTGCTATTTTATAACTGGCTGAAGCTGATATTTCTATAATACGCAGATTATTTCATCAGGACAGTTGGATGCCATTACAAGGGCACGCCCTATTCTCTCTGGTACAATCTAGTTATGTCACTACTCTGCAACACTTGCATGAGGATTCAGTTTTTTGATCACTACTTTTAAATTTTCTATTTCATCTCTAAGACAAACTATTGTGTTTTTCAAACAGCTATGAGTGAGAAACTTTATGTTTTTGAGGGGGCACTTGGTGCTGGAAGGTGGGCTTTCTTCACAATCTTACCAATTTCTTTGTCATGTTTAGATTTTAGAACAATTTGAATTGTGTTGTTGAGACAAATTTTCATATAAAATTGGTGACAATTAAATTTAGGGTAAAGGATGAAGACAAGAAGAGAGAGAGAGAGAGAGAGAGAGAGAGAGAGAGAGAGAGAGAGAAATACAGGAAAAGGCTAATGAGAGACACCAAAAGTAGGCACATGTTCTCTTCTTATACACACATATGTTTTCATTTTATCTATCATCGACTGAACGAACCCAATTTGTATCACTAAATGCTTTCAATTTTAAGTGATCATGGTTAGAGCACAGGATCCATTTCACAAGAGCTGACTTGAGATACCTCTAAATGAACGATCAGGCACAAAAATTTTGGCATGATCAAGAAACTCAGATTATTATGTTCTTCCTCTTCCATGATTATGTCTTATGTTATTTTATTTTGCAGTATGTAACTCTAAATTAAGTTAATAAAGTTTGATTAAGTAGCATGTACTTGTTATTTTGAAATGATAGTTGAAATGGGAGAATAAATGGAGGGAGCAAAGTCATCATTGGAGCAACATTGCTAATATATAGCATTTTGTCTCTTTTTATTGCTAAATTATAACAATATTCAACATGTAGCTATTGAACCATTGGAGACTAGAAAATTCACAAGACAGCACTAGGAAACCATAGGAGATTTTTTTTACTTGACAGGAATACAAGAACTGATAGGCTGCTTCTTAGTAGTGATATGGCTTTGATAACATGTAAATATTGGAAACAAAAAGTGGAATTAAAATTTGGTTAAAAAAAAAACTAATGGCTTTGCGCAGAAAACAACACCTGACCTAATATTACACTAGTGATTGTGTAAACCAAGTCAAATCTAATTTACTATAAACTTACAACTAAATGATTCTTGAATATTCCAATACAAATTTAAGTAATTTCATATCTTTGAACAATGCTTTTCAAATGATAATTTAATTGTGTCTTGGTTGTGCCACTTGATAGTAAATTTGTTTGTGCTAGGTGTTTAACCCAATTTAACAGGGATTGGCACAGGGGAATGGCCCTTTTTCTTTGTTTATTTATGTTAGGTGTTCTAATATCATATTAGATGATGTTATTGTTAATGTCTACTTTTCTTTTTTAAATTGCAGCAAAATTAAAATGGTAATAGAGCTGCTTGAGGGCATTCATTTTGTTTCTTCTGTGGAGGCCATTTCTCTTGGTGCCCAAGCTGGTATTCATCCATGGATAATTTATGACATTATTTCTAATGCTGCTGGAAATTCATGGTAAATTATTGTTCACAATTCTTTACTGAGGATTATGTTGTGTGTTTAAAATTTAAATATTTCTAGTCCTGAAGCATTCCTTATAAGCATTCTGATCTGAAATTACCAATTCTAGATCAGGCACAACCTTGATAGATGAGACTGCTAATAATCTGATTTGAACCATGGGCACCAGTTGAGACCATGGCACTGATTGGCACTTTCTGTTTCTGACAATGAACTGATTTTGTAGAACCCATGCCTTTAAAGAAATTAGCTGCAAAATTTATTGAACACTGAAAGACCTTCTTGTTATGTGCTTACATGTATACACATACATGGGAACATCTGTTTACTTTCAAAGATCTGTGCATTTTTATACTAACTCAATAGGTATTCAAGGCTTTGGTGGTTGGTGTTGGTATATGTAAATGCCGTAGTTAGTTTTTTTTTCATGACATTCCTGGAATTTGCTAGCGTTTTCTTAAGCAGATACTGTGTTACCTTGCTACTAGACATCCTTCTGTTGGATTCAATTTTACAGGGTTTTCAAGAATCATGTTCCCCAGTTGCTAAGGGATAATCAAACCAAACATCTCCTGAATACTTTGTTCAAAATTTGGTAAGTCTTCTCATGTTGTAAGTTTCTTAGTGTTGTTCAAGTGTATTATGAGTAATTTCTTTTCTTCTTGACTTTGAAGTTAAGTTCAATGGGGATTTTGGGTGAATTAAATGCTAACTGCAGTTTTATAATTCCATTCAAATTATGCTTCCTTTCTTGTGGTGGATTTAGTATAAATGTCCATCCATGTTACACACAGACATGCAATTCTAGAAGCATTACAGTTTTGATTGTCAATACAATGATCATTAAGTAGAGACCAATTCATTCTTGCACAGATCCAGGATCATGTGAGATGTTTAGGATCATTTCTTCATCAATGAATTTGGACACATTGAGACTTTCAATAATGATTTTTGAGATATTGATACTGTAAGGTAGACCTCAATTCAGAATCACATTCTTAAATGGGTCTCTTATCCACTTATTTTTTTAAGAACTCATTATTGATAAAATAAAATAATGTACGAAATAAGTTCACATTAAGAAAACTTATGTTTTTATGAAGTAGAAAATAGAAAAGACTTATTTGGCTAGGCATTGAAGTGTAGAAGTGCTAATGTGAGAAAAAAATAAGCTGGTTATCTTAAATACTAAAATCCTATCCAGCTTAATCACTTTATTGGAAAGACCTTAAGTGGACAGCTTTGTCATTCTAATCTAAACAAATTCTTGTTCAAATCTTTGAACTCTTATTCAATAGAGATCTCTTTGTGAACTGCAAAGCTAAAACTAAACCAAACCAAACTAAGCCTTGTGTCCCCAATCAAGTGGCGTCAGTTACATGAATCATTTTCCTCTATTTCGCTCTATCAAGGGCTGGATGAGTCAATTATGCCTGATGGGTTTTTGTCCAACTTGAAGGGTATTGTTTTGGATATGGCCAAATCATGTACATTTCCTCTTCCACTTCTGGCAGTTGCTTTTCAACATCTAATAGCAGGTATGTATCTGCATGATTTACAGTTTCTCACAACCATAATCTGTAGGTGGCAGCTATTAATGTTTTGGAGCAACCTGATACTCACTTTGTTAATTTCCAATTGTCCTTTCACAATGGTCATGGAAATGATGGTGATGACACATTCATCAAGGTTGTTCTCATGAACTAATTTATTTTATATAAAAGTTATATTATGTGGCTTTTTTACTTGCTTTGAGGTTATGTAAATATTAACATGCCATTTGCTAAGTAGACACACCTGTTCTTGCACAGGCTTGGGAGAAAGTATATGGGGTGAACATTACCAATGCTGTCAATATGGTACAAACTTATTTATGAAAAAAAATATTAATAAAATGTCATTCCGAGTCAAGTCTGCTGCATCAGATGGTCAATTAGGTATCATATATTACACTGCAGAACAGCATCTGCTGTCTCTCCTAAAGTTTGTGCTGACTAAAAGGCATTCTACTGGTGGTCTTTTATTTCTTTGTAGTTGAGGTAATAATGCCATTGTCGTATATCTATTATAGATGTAGTGTAATAAGTTGCTTGTTGCTTTGATAATTGTTTCAGATATGTTGAAAATTTGCTGCCGAAGTCTGGATACGACTTGTATTGCTCATCAATAAATTGCATCTCTAGATTATGCTGGTCCATTTTCTCTTAGAAGTGGGAGTTGTTTCCTGACTACAGATAACTATATATCAGTTATAGAATAAATAGAAAACTTATGTTTAGTAAAATTTACCCAAATCTATATGTCGTTTTCAATCTATAAGTTTAGTAAAAACATATAAGATTTACCCAAATCTATAAGTTATTTTTTTTTATAACCTTTTTTTATAAGTTTAGTAAAAAAAAAAAAAAAAAAAAAACACAAACCCGGAAGGTGGTAGTGAGATAACAGGCACAATGACCACTATAAAGACATAACAAAATTAAGAAACCATTTTTTTTTTGTTTTTTTGTTTTTTTGTTTTGAGATGCTGTGGTGATGCTGCTGTGATGGTGTTTGTTACGATAAGGTGCTGCTGTGTTGTTGTTGGATGTTTGCTGGTGTTGCTGGTGTTGTTGATGTTTGGAAGGGTGCATGCCTTTTTGTCCAATCTGTAATAGATCAGGTTTTCATTAATGGGGGTTGTCATTAGGTGTAAGTTCGGGCAACTGCTGGTGTTTTGGCTGGAAGGGTATGGAGGGGGTATGGAGGGGGTATTTTGTGTGATTTCATATCCATGTTATTAGTTTGTTATAGTGGTGCCTGAGGGATGCCTCTTGTAAATCTGTAAATTTTTTAAAAAATTATAAATGAGTTTCAATTATTTTTGTCGTTGCAAATTTGTCGTTGTTAAAAAGTGAAGCTTTCTCGACAAATAATTAGTCGGTAAATGTGTAGCTAAAAGTTTATTTTTGCCTACTCATATTGTGTTGCTAAAAGTGTATTTTTTGCCAATGTCAATTTGTCGTTGCCAAAACTAAAGCTTTATCGACAACCAAATCGTTGGCAAATGGCAACATTTACCGATGTAAATGTGTCGCTAAAAGTTACTTTTCCCCACTCATATTGTGTTGGTAGAAGTGTATTTTTTGCCAATGCCAATTTGTCGTTGCCAAAACTAAAGCTTTATCGACAACCAAATCGTTGGCAAATGGCAACATTTACCGATGTAAATGTGTCGCTAAAAGTTACTTTTCCCCACTCATATTGTGTTGGTAGAAGTGTATTTTTTGCCAATGCCAATTTGTCGTTGCCAAAACTAAAGCTTTATCGACAACCAAATCGTTGGCAAATGGCAACATTTACCGACGTAAATGTGTCGCTAAAAGTTACTTTTCCCCACTCATATTGTGTTGGTAGAAGTGTATTTTTTGCCAATGCCAATTTGTCGTTGCCAAAAGTAAAGCTTTAGCGACAAACAAATCGTCGGCAAATGGCAACATTTGCCAACGTAAATGTGCCGCCAAAAGTTTACTTTTGCCAACGCATATGTTGTTGCTAAAAGTATATTTTTTGCCCATGCAAATTTGTGTCGCGAAAAGTGCCACACAATCATCCTATTTGAATGACTTTTACCAACGCAAGGTAAATTGCCGACGATGGATGAAGACTTTTATCGACGACTATGTTCGTCGCTAAAGGCATTACTTTTACCAACGCAATCATAATTTCGTCGGCAAAAACTTTTGCCAACTCACTTTTGCCTACGGGTTGTCAACGTAGCTTTGTGTGTCAGCAAAACTCTTTGCCAACGAATTTTCCCTTTTAGCAACATATTTTGTTGCGTTGCGAAAAATGCAATTTCTTGTTGAAGCATACTAATATGAAACACGTCATGCACTCTGGAAAGCTGTGGTGTTAACGCCAAACGGTAAGCAACCTCCCCAATCCACTCAAGGATCTCAAAAGGGCCAATAAATCGAGGAGATAACTTCTCACACTTCCAATTCTTCCAAAATCTCATCAAACCCTGTCTAGGTGATATTTTCAAAAACACATAATCTCCCACCTCAAAAGACAAGGGTCTCCTCCTACGGTCAGCATAACTTTTCTGGCAACTCTGAGCCGTAACCAACCTCTTACGAATGAGTGTCACCTTCTCCGTCGTTTCCCAAACCAACTCTGGGTACAATAAAGGTGCATCACCCACCTCGGCCCAACACACTGGGGATCTACATGGTCGACCATACAAGGCCTCAAACGGTGTCATGCCAATACTCGATTGGAAGCTATTGTTATAGACAAACTCCACTAAGGGTCGGTGCCTCTCCTACGACCCTTTGAAATCGAGGACACAGCCTCGGAGCATATCCTCAAGGATCTGAATAGTACGCTCGGACTGCCCGTCGATCTAAGGATGGTACGCAGTACTAAAGGTCAATCTAGTGCCCAAGGCACTCTGCAAGCTTTGCCACAGCCAAGCCGTGAAACGTGGGTCTCTATCCGAAACAATCGTTACAGGGACCCCGTGCAACCTCACTATGTCCCTGATATACAAGTCGGCAAGATAGTCTACCGTATCACTCACGCACATAGGTATGAAGTGTGCAGACTTGGTTAACCAGTCAACCTCCACCCAAATGGCATCACCAGGGGTGTTCAAAAATTTGCTCGACCCAGTCAATCCGACTGACCCAACTCGGACCAACAGCTCACGGATGGTTTCGCCAGTCATTTCGGTCGGCAATGGATGAAGAATGCAAATTTTTATTTTTTTTTCGGTCGGATATCGGATGAACATATCAAAAAATAAATGAACCCGACCAGACCGAAATATTATAAAATGAATTTTTCTGTCAAGTGTCTTCATTTTATTAGTCAGAGGTATTACAACTTTATCAACTTGACAAAAAAATATATATATTAAATAATCTTTCACTTTCTTTTTTGAAAATCTCAAATGTCATCATTATCTTCCTCATTTCTTTACACGTTATCCAACTTTCCACCTGCACAAATAATTATTTTAATCAACTTTTCACCTTATTTTATTCAACCTTCCATCTTCCTGACTTTTTTCACCTGTTCATCTCCCTATCATCGTTACATTTCCTTTCCATTTTCAAAACTTGATCTCATATTTTCATTTTATTTGTTGAAGACTAGTTACCACACTTGGCCATTGTTGTTACTTTTCACGATTGCCTCACCACCAACGCCGATGCTGCTTTCGGCCGCTCACCACCAACGCCGGCGCTGTTTTTTGCTGCCTCGCCACCAACCAACGCCGACGCTGCTTTTTGCTGCCTTCACCATTAGAGATCACTTCGTTGTTGCTTTCGTGTCTTAGATCTCACTTTCTCCTCTCTGTCATTACAATCTCCTCTTTCATTTCTTTTTTCTTCTTTCTTCTCTCTCTATCATTACAATCTCCTCTCTCACCCTAAAGCTTTTCTTCTTTCTATTCTGCCTTTACACTTCTCTCTCTCTCCCTCCCAAAGCTCTTCTTCTCAGAAATTAAGGTCTCTTTCTCCTTCTTCTTTTTTTTTTCTCATCTAAAAAAAAAACATGTACGAAGTTAAATTTTTGTTTTGATTTTTTGGGCTAGATTTGCAATGTGATGGAGATTGGTCGATTTCGACATTTCGACCGAAACTATTCAACCCGAACATGTTCGGTTGCAAGCATCCAGTCGGTTGAAATCGGGCTCCTCCATAGCCAACCCGAGATGGTCGGTTCGGGTGACAGATACATATCAAACTCGGTCCGACTCGACTCGTGAACACCCCTAAGCATCACTACCCCTTTGAGTCCTCGGAAGGCCCACAACAAAATCCATCGTGACATGCTCCCATTTCCACTCGGCTATAGGCAAGGGTTGCAACAAACCCGCTGGCCTCTGATGTTCGACCTTTACTTGTTACAAGTAAGGCACTTCGATACAAACACAGCTACATCTTTCTTCATACCTCTCCACCAAAATTGGCAACTCAGGTCATGATACATTTTTGTGCCTCCCGGATGCACCACAAGGCGTGAATGATGAAACTCTCAGAGTACCTCATCTCGGCCAGACTCTGGCATAAACAAACGGTCATGGTATCTTACACTCTGGTAGGGATACACATTCAAACCCTTCTCTACCTTCCCATTGGAGATCTTCTCCCTGATGGTTTCTACCTCAAGATCACCCCTCTGCGTTTCTAACACTCGGTTCACAAGTGTAGATTGTGCAACTACCGTAAACAAGGCCGCAGATTCAATAGACTCACCAAGATGTAGGTCAAACTCCCCAAGAGCACCCAACATCTCCCATTCCCAAATGGTGATACAAGCCACACTGCTAATTGATTTCCTACTCAAGGCGTCGGCCACAAAATTGGCCTTCCCCGGATGATAATGCAACTCAAAATCATAGTCCACTATGAATTCCATCCGCCTCCTCTGCCTTAAATTCAAGTCTTTTTGTGTAAACAGAAACTTCAAACTCTTGTGATCAGAAAACACCTCAAATTTCTCACCATACAGATAGTGCCTTCAAATTTTCAAGGTAAATATCACCGCTGTTAATTCTAGAC